CCCCCCCAAAAAAGAAAAGATCCGCAGCGCACGTACCAGCCGCGATCAAAGGGTTGCAGGATTCCAAAGGGGCGGGGCTTGCCCGGGGAAGCCACGCCCCCTCCCTCCCAGAGGTTCTTTGATCAGAAAGGGCTCCAGAAGGCTTAGGACGGCGCAGACGCAGAAGGAGCAAGGAAAGGTTGGATTAGGATAGCCACTAGGCGCTCTTGCTTGCGAGTAAATCCATTGGCTTGGCTTGGGCGTTGCAAGCCCTGGCTGCCTCAGGGAGCATCTGCACTGTGGGATATATCGCGGGTTGATACCGCTGGAAGGGCTGTAAGCCCCATCCTAGGGAAATCTTGGGATCTGTAGCTTTGCAAGGTCTTTTTCTTTTCTTTTCTTTTTTAGCCTCCTCTGCCAAAGAGGGATGCCCTCATTCTTTTGGCAGAGAAGGTTAAAAAAGGCATTGCAAAACTACAAATCCCAGGATTCCAAAGGAACAACTTCTGTGGAATCCTGGGATTTGTAGTTTTGCAATGCCTTTTTTTAACCTTCTTCTTCTTTAACCTGCCAAAAGAATGAGGGCGCCTCGTCAAAGGGAGTTCTGTGGAATCCTGGGATCTGTAGTTTGACAAGGTCCTTTTAGCCCTCTCTGCCAAAAGAATGAGGGAGCCTCACCAAACCAAATCCTATGGAACTCTGGGATTTGTAGCTCAGCAAGGTCCTCTTAGCCTTCTCTGCCAAAAGAGTGAGAGTGCCTCACCAAATGAAGTCCTCTGCAATCCTCCAGAGCTGTTAAACAACTAGCAGAGAGCTCTGGTGCCACAGCAAACTACAAATCGCAGGACCCCATGGGATGGAGCCGTGACAGTTTATGTTGCTGTCGTGTGCCTTGAAGTCGTTTCCGACTTATGGCAACCCTAAAGCAAACCTATCATGGGCTTTCCTTGGCAAGATTTGTTCAGAGGGGCTTTGCCATTGCCATCCTGTGAGGCTGAGAGAGTGTGACTTGCCCAAGGTCACCCAGTAGGTTTCCATCATGGGGTTCCCTTGGCTAGATTTGTTCCGAGGAGGTTTGCCATAGCCATCTGAGGCAGAGAGAGTCACCCAGTGGGTTTCCCTGGCCAAGCGGGTGGGATTCGCACCAAGGGCTTCAAAGTCATCGTATCAGAACTCAACCACTGTGTCACACTCTCTCCGCTGAGGTAGAACTGTACTTTAATTCGCTTATGTGTTCCTTCCACCCTCCACTGACTTCTCTTCCATGCTTCCCCTCTCATTGCAAGCCTGTGAGCCTCCTTTCCATCTGGTGCCTTTCAGAGGTGGC